TTTCTATGACGTTATAGCCATAAGTGTTTATTGCTTTAATAGGTTGAAATGTGCACCTGATAAAAGTATTCAGTAGAGGGAAAATGTTTTGATCAGGTTTAAACTGATGCATAAAATAAACAGGCGACTGCAGGAGGCAATTATTTATATTGCATCCAAATAATGTGTCGGCAGCTTGAATTTCAAAGGATGTAGCCCACATACTTCCAAGTAACATGCTCTATACCTATCAAAAGTCATGGTATTATCATGGTTTATCATTACTCCATCTTCCCATAAAATCCTATTTTGGACAATATGGGTGCATACAATATATATGTACCTATAAATGTATCACTCAGACTCAAGTCTCCTTTTTAGCTGTTTTATGATTAAACTTAGAGAGTGAAAAAAAACCAGTCTCCATCTCCTGGGACTGTTTAGGGTAGATATGTGTCATAATTAATGACAAGATTTGTTGAGAGTCTGTCAAAGTACAGTCTATAGCCCACATACTTCCAAGTAACATGCTCTATACCTATCAAAAGTCATGGTATTATCATGGTTTATCATTACTCCATCTTCCCATAAAATCCTATTTTGGACAATATGGGTGCATACAATATATATGTACCTATAAATGTATCACTTTTTTTTATACAGATAGTATATTTGAATATATTTTTTTTGTTTAAACCTTTTGTTAAGTTTTGAATTTCACCTGCATTTGTCTGTGAGCTACAGGAATAACCGTGATCACATTCAACAGTATAACCAACTTCATTATCACTGTAACTTGATATGGGAAATTCTGTAGCAGATGAATAATAGTAGTCATGGTCAACCAGAGGCAGAGCACCGGATTTTTAATACCTCCGGCTACGTTTCTCCCGAAATGTATTGCTTGCAGAGGGTTTTTTTGTGTTCCGAAGGCTGGACGGAACTTTTACACTACAAATGTTATCATAAATTATGATATTGTAACTTTTAAATGAAGTACCTGTGGATATTTAGGAAATTTGTCACTGATAATGGAATCTTCAATGGAAAGATGAAGCAGACGATGAAACATGACGTAAGATGTTGTTGTCCAAACTTCGGTTATTTCCGTGGTACAATAAAATTTAAATAAAGTACACAAGTTACTAAAATTTCTAAATTCTTGTTTTTGTAAACAAATAAAAATTCATGTCGTATTTAACATCGAATTTATTCCGTTTTGTCCCGTTTTTTCAAGATCGCGATTAACGAGAATCTGGCAGCCATTAAAAATATAAGGGTTAAACTAATGTCCTGACAATGTCCTGACGGATATTCCAATGCTAATTTCGTTTTCATTATTTGAAGAATTGACTTTATATTTGGAGTCAAGCAAGAATACTATATTTATTTAATAAATATAAGGAAAAAAAAGAAAAAAAATATTGTTAAGAGTAAGATAACTTGACTTGATCATCTTCGAAAATTTAAAAAAAAAAATGTACGAGATTTAACGAGAGTGACGAAACTTTTTAGATTGATCATGTAGATAGAGTTATCGTTCTTTACTCCAATTCGATGCTTCTACCATAAGTGCCAGCTAAAGCTGGCATATCAAATGTACCAGGCTTATAATTTAATACACCATACAAGCGTTTCGTCTACATAAGTCTCACCAGTGACGCTCAGATCAAAATAGTAAAGAAAATTAAAGCCAAACAAGTAGAAAGTTGAAGAGCATTGATGACCCAAATTCCTAAAAAGTTGTGCCAAATACGGCTAAGGTTATCTATGCCTTGGATAAGAAAATCCTTAGTATTTAGAATTTAATTTTTTTTTTAGTATAAATTTTTTTTAATATTCTTACTCAATTTCACTCATTTTAGCTCTTATCAATACCATGTTGCAATGTCAGTAGTTTATATATGCCGTTTTGTGCTGGTGTGGCATAAAACCCTTACTACAGCTGCATGATTAGTCGTGTGTTAAGACCAACTGCACAAGACATCTATGTCAAACCAATGTACAGTTTTCTTTAATTTTGACAGTTTTTATTCTTTACATTATACAAGTGTGTACACAGATCAGTGTGGATAGTATGTTTGGATGTTTGACAGTGTTTTCTGACAAAAGGAGTTCTCTGGTTTTTCCCATAGGGTTCTATATTATTAACTGTGTTGCACAATGACAGCCAACTTGAGCATAAGGAGTACTGTTTTTTTAATATTTAGTTTTTTATGTTCAAGACGGTCATGGAAGAGACACTAATTGCATTGACTACCAAATTATTATGATAGAATATGTTCCACATCTTTGATTTTGGATACATTTTGTAGCTAGGAGAGGAACACATATTAGGTTCAATTGTTCATGATGAGATTTTTTATATGGGAGATGGTATCTGAGAACATGTATTTGCGTACTATTAGCATGGTTCTATTTATGTTACTTTGTGTTGGATCTTCCCAGTATCACAAGTAAAAAAGTTCCTTTATATGTCGAAATTGTTTCTCAGATCAGAAGACATTTACCGGTAATGGTTTTAAGTTATGACAATGTCTGACATGATGCTTGAGGCTAGATGAGCTAGAAAGTAAACTTCTGTTTTATTTTTTATTAATTCTTCGAAAATATCTTCTCCAAAGCCTGGTGAAAGCAAAAAAAAGTTTTGACCACTATGGTAAATGATATCAACAAAAGAACCGTTGTGAGCATGCTTCAAAGACTCATAACTGCTACATAAGTCATCTGACAAAATTTCTAGTGGATATGAACATCTACTTAATATGTCTAAATATCTAAAAAGTTATGGTATTCAAAATGAAAAACGTATTGCAAAAATATTCTTGTTTTTAATTTTTTTATATATATATATGGATACAAATATAAGTCATACCAGTTCAGTAAGGTCGTTTTGTTGTGGTATGAAAGTGCAGTAAAACATTTACTGTTAATTCACACAAATTAAGAAATAAACAAATGAATGATAAATGTTGAACAATGAAATATTATTTTAGAAATCAATTAGGCCAGATAGGCCTTATGAATTTTGTTCTTTTTTTGTTAACATACTGAATGACCATTTACACACAGGATTGAGTCGTCAGTAGGCAGTACAGATGTATAAAAAAGTGTAACAAAACCACCTTGCATCATATATTGCTAGTAGCATGAGTAGCATTGTTTGATAAATTTGTGCTTTTTTTTTAGCTCACTGGGGCTCTTGGCCCCATGTGAGCTTATGCCATCACTTGGCGTCCGTCGTCTGTCGTCGTTGTCGTCGTCTGTCGTCGTAAACTATTTCAAAAATCTTCTCCTCTGAAACTACAGGGACAAATACCTTCAAACCTCAACTAAATGTACCTAAGGGTATCTAGTTTATAAATTGTATCCGAAGTTTTGATCCATCGACAAACATGGCCGCCATGGCTAAAAATAGAACATAAGGGTCAAATGCAGTTTTTGGCTTATATCTCAAAAACTAAATCTTTTAGAGCTAATGTGACATAGGGTGAAATTGTTTAATTGGTCAAGATCTATCGGCCCTGAAATTATCAGACGAATCGAACAACCCATTGCTGCCACCGAATTGGTAGTTTTAACAAAATTTTGCAGTTTTTGTTATTATTTTGAATATTATTATAGATATATATAAACTGTAAGCAGCAATAATGTTCAGCAAAGTAAAATCTACAAAAAAGTTAATATGACCAAAATTGTCAATTGACCCCTTAAGGAGTTATTGCCCTTTAAAGACAATTTTACACAATTTGTTCATCAAGTTTGCTAACATTTAAAAATCTTCTCCTCTGAAATACAGGTGAGCGATTCAGGCTCTTGAGAGCCTCTTGTTCAATTTGGCTAGCGCTTCTGGACAAAAAATGTTTGGTTCAAATCTAAATAATATGCTTTAATCTCCCCATTACTACTTACATTGTACATAGAATGGATACTACTTTGACAACTCCTTGTGCAGATGAGAGTTGTCTGTCAAATCTTTATTTCACAAAGAATGAAATGCATAACAATGAACTGAGCTCAACGCAAAGCAATTTAATAATACACTTAGACAAAGAGCTCGATCCAGTGAAATACTGTGTACTACAGGTCCTTCATGAACATCCATCTGCCATAACCACATCTCACAAACATGCCATACCACATGGTTGGATCAGAAGTCCTGAAATAGACATGAATTTTTTTATCATATTTTCAGTATATACACCGGTTTAAACTTCACAAATTTGTGGTATAATCATTCTGTATCTAGCAAGTAACAATCGCTTCATGCACAAATTGATATAGGTTGAGAGCCCCTCTGTCGGAAATAATTAAGAACATACCTCCACCTAATCTTAGTTAACAGTTGAAGAAACATTCAAAACTATAAAATGTTATTAGACTTCGTCAGTGTCTATTTACAAACACCACTGAATCAATAATATATGTATACATATTGTAATGATCTACAAATTACCCCCCCCCCCCCCCCCCCCCCCCCCCCCCCGCCTTTCCCCCTTTTTTATATCACAAGGGTTTGTGTGAGTTAATTTGTTAATTTACACATAACTTATACCAACGTAACATATGTTACAGTTAATGGTATTGTTCATTTACATATAAATATTTGGTATATGAGATTGGTAAATTTAAGCACATGTGGACGAGTCAGCATACATATTTTGCATCACTGTGTTTTGCATACGAGAAGTGGGACGTCTCATGGTTTGACTGTATTTCTTTCGTTTAAGCACATGACAGTTGTTTTAGAGTTTTACGTCGGTTGGGCTTGTTCTGGTCTTACCTTTTTAGCATGTCAAGGTTTCATTTTATTTCAAATTGTTGTCTTATCGGTCAATGTTTACAAACTCCTGATTAACTCGAATAATTCAAGCCCTTACCGTCTCCGATTCTCTCCACTTTTAACCCGAATAATCCAGTCGTTATATTACGCTCCCTATCGATCACTACATTAACGCCTGAATGCATACACGATAAAAACGCGTCAGTCCGGAAAATTGTGACGCGTTGCATTATGGGTATAATTTTAACATACACAATGGCGCCAAAAGAAGGAGGAGCATAGTAATCCCACAACAAAAGATGTGCAATGGAGTGGGAAAGTAGTGTTTATTTACATTGTTCGCACGTGTTTGACAAGAATTTGAAAAATGAAAGAAGAAGAAAGGTTTCTAACATCAGTGATGTGGATTTTATAGACATAATAGCCAAAACTTACAGCCTTGATTTTGATCTGTTGAAAAAATTTCTCGACAAGAATGAAGATGTGTATATATGTGCAAAATGTTACAATTCTGTGAAATCAGTCTCAACAAACAGTAAGAAATACGATCAGTCAAAAACATCTTTAACGGATTCTGCCTCGAATGACTTTAAGAACTTGTCTATACAGATTGAATATCGTTCTATTCCAAGTGACCGTGGCAGTGAACTGAAAAGAAACAGAAGTAGCCTTACTCCCACCAAGTCTGGATGCACTCCTAGAGCTAAGAAACAAGATAAAAATGTATCAAATTCATCAACAAAAACACCAAAGAATAATAGACGACGTCTCTGCTTCTCTGACAAGAAATCAACACAGTCTCCAGGGCCTAAAGTAAAGGTATGCATTTGTATCTGAATTATGATTTAATAGCCATACATGAAAAAAGTTTACAGATTATTAACATACATGTACAAAAGTTTAGATCCTTGGCACGTTATAGGTACTACATATAGCTTTTATACATGTACATGGTACATAGGTAAAATGTAGTTACAATGTTTTACATGTAAAAAAGTATAAAGACTACATGTTTAACTAAATTAAAAGTAATTAGTCTAAATAACATTTTTTTTTCTAAAACAAACAAAAGTTGAAAGAAAAGGATTACATGTATACAGTATATACATGTACATGTATATAAGTACATTTGTACTTATTTTATATACAATGCATCAACTTGCATAATGTTGTACAATGCATGTGTACACAATACATTTATTTGTGCAATAATAGTAACTGTTGTTATTATTTTTTTTAGGTGAACATAGGGTATCATGGAAGTTCCAGGAACACAGTTTTAAAAGGACATGAGAAGTTGGCATGTCGTGCCTTAGTCATGAAACAATACAGAACAGCTGTAAACCACATGTTTGAGTTAGATGTTAAGAAAGAAATTGGAATTGTGATCAAAAAGAAAATAAATAAGGAAATAACTGAGGTAATCAAGAACAAAGACTCTTTATTAAGGTCAACAAATCTCTCTTCGTTTTCATGGAAATCAGCTTACAAGCAACTAGAAAATAAATGTCCTTTGACAATGGACTTACTTCAGACAATATGTGGAGAGAAGAAAAAAAATGAACCAAGACTTGTTACCAGCATGGCCGTCCTTCTGTTTACCAGAAATCAGCAAATGAACACAATTCAATCTATAAACAGTGTGTTAATGTTCCGAGGACATGTTAGAACAAAGGTAAGCAAATTAAAAATTAATAATATAAAGATAAATCATGTACAGTACTTCATTTAAATACAGATTCAGTCTTCTCACAAGGGTCTTTCAGCACTATATTTTATTAAAAAAAAAAAACATTTCTTTGTGTTTTTTAGATTTACAAGTTGTATGTATGTACAAAGCAATTTTAACTCAAAGTATTTTTCATAAATAATAAGAAAAAATCTGTTCAGCACATACATGTATTGATCTTCTTCACATATAAAAAAGAAGATGTGGTATGATTGCCAATGACAACTCTCCTTAAGAGACCAAATGACACAGAAATTAACAACTATAGGTCACCGTACGGCCTTCAACAATGAGCAAAGCCCATACCGCACAGTCAGCTATAAAAGGCCCCGAAATGACAATGTAAAACAATTTTAATTACTATAGCTAATGTCTGTACATTTTAGCACAACATCTGAAGTTTTACTGTACATTATTCCAAATACATAACATGGGCAGCAAATCTCAATGGTTTATTTTATTTCTTCAGGTTTATACCACCTTTAACCGAGCAGGACTTAGTAGTTCCTACAAGTCCACACTGAATACAATTGATAAGCTATGTGAGAAATTTGATGAGCCTGTGAAGAGATGGACAGAACAACTCAGCAGTAAAACAATAGATCAGAAAACTTCATTAGGTATATTTTATTGTAAATTATAATTAAGGCATGTTCATTTTTACCTACATGTACATGTAACTATATTTAATAAAAGTGTAGATTCTCCTGATAAGGATGCTAAAATGCTTTTATATCCATGATATCTATTATTGATACATTACTAAAGTAAACAATATATATACAGGAAAATTATTATATACAGTACGTTAGTAAGGAGATGTGATATGGCTGCCAAACAAAGGTCAAAGGATGTGGATTTACCAGTATACATGTATAAATCATTTCAATTTTTATAAATCTTGATATAATTTGAAGTATTTTGCTTTTTAGGTGATCATACATATGCAGCAACCAGTGATGAATGTAATGTAGAGAACATTGCCACAGATGATAACATTCTACACATCCAATGTCCACCAGTAATGTACATAGCAGAACCTATAACCGATACCACTTCAGATTTTTCCTCAGTAGATACATGTAAAGAGACAGTTCCAACTACAGACTCTCCTATGGAAAAGCTGTACGACTTTGTGGATAATGGTAAGCACATATAATGTGTCTTTTCTGTGTGGATTCCGTATTTTTTTAGAGTCACTCACACTAATCTAGAATCACTGAAGTGTTTAAGAAGAATAATGAAATAGCTGTCAAAAATAACTTCAAAGCTGTCAGTGTTGTAATTCTGTTATGAGGGTCTAGGTGTGGTGTACATTAATATTGGTGCCTTTCCTTTTTATAAATCTGAATTTGAGAAATGCTGAGACTTATAAGAGAGAATTGCTTGTTTTTGTTTCGTGACGTCTTTTTGAGGCGCTAATATTTTGAGTAAAGATATATCTTGCCAAATAGTAATCTACTTATTTAATTCTTATATGTTCTGTGTATCAAATTTGAATTTATTTTACAGGTACATCTGTTCCACCTAGAACTCCTTTATGTAGCATAGGAAACCACACAACTTATTACACACCAATGCAACCATCAGTACCATGTGAAGAAGATTCTCCATTTACAACTAAGTCGTCAGCTGCAATTCAGGAAACGGGTTCTTTCCAAATTATTATGGACAATTTGAATATGAACCAAAAGACTAGACACAAGACTGTAGATACCAGCAACAAAGTTCACAACTTGGTCCACTCAATGGCAGTTAATGATAGAGCAACTCCAACTGACCCGTTAGATGAGATTCACCCTCAAGCTGACATTCTATCATTATCTAATGACTTGTTCATTCCAAGTGACAATGACATACACCAACTGAATGAAGATTTCAAAGTTTTGATACAAACAGCTTTAGTGGACAACATCCCAGGACTATCTGAGTACAGACAAGTTGTGCAGTACCACATCTTACATGAGTTTTCACAACAGGCTGAAAAGAAGAGCACAGTTGTAAGTTTTTAATAATTGTAACATTTTGCATGTAACCTTGTATAACAATCTCACACTGCCATCAATATATTTAATAATTTGCTATATATATTCCTTTTGTTGTTTTATTTAAATAATAATCATGTTCATACAATTAGAAAAGGCATTAAATAAAATTGAGAAATATTGCTGAAGAAAAAAGATCTAATATTAACAGTGAAAATTGTTAAAATAAAAAAAGAATGAAAAAAAACACATGAAAAAAAATACTGCCAATGTGTTCTACATCAATTTAAATTTTATTCCAAACAAGTTCTTTGTGGTTTTTAAATTTTTTTTTTAACATATTAAACATGTTATGTTGCTTTTATCTCCAGATACCTTTAGGAATTCTTGAGAAGGATGAAAACATCACAGAACAAATGATCGATGTAATTACACATTTACAACAGTATGTGCCAAAGAGGGACAAGAAATTAAAGCCATTGTTGTTAGGTGGCGATGCCTTAAGTGTTGAGAGGGGTGAATCTGCACAGAAAGCCAGAATTGATGCAGTGACATGTGAAGACAGATTAGATGGCTTTATATGGAAAAGCGAAGATTGGCATGGCCATGTTATATCACTACAGGTATATATAGTTCCTCTATACAGTTGTAAGTGCTACTAAATAAAGGAAATAAATATGAAATTTTTAACTCCCATTTATCATCATAATATTTTATCCAAGTGGATTTACGTTAAATCATTTGTAAATCTCAAGTCTAGGTTGTTGTTTCTCGTCGATGAACAAAATAAGAAAAAGGTATTATGTATACAACTTGAAAATAAACCTCATGTATATTTATCATACATAAACCCATTGTATAATTGTATTTGAACTGGCTGCATTTATATAGTATCAAAGCTTACATCTTTTTTGTCTCATGTAAAAACTACAGGAATCAGGAGAGACCCCAAGTTTGTCAACCAATTGACAAAAAAACAACAACAATAGAATGTCAGTTTTCAAGATAGGATAGTGTCCATAGTACACTGCATCATTATTATTCATACATTTGTACATGTACATGTGTCATATGAATTGATTTGTTCTTTTTCAGGCAATGCATAAACAATTATGTACATGTATACATGTAACAAATAAATTTACTTGTTCTAAATATTTATTATTATTTTCAGGATACATTTAACCTCCATTTCAAGGGATCATCATCTGGTGAAATGGGAACATTGTTCCAACTGAAAAACAAGTTTGATAGAAGAGGTGTTAAATCAGAGGTACATGTACATATACATAATATTCTTTCCATTTACAAATGTAAGTTTTGTGAACCATTAACAAACATGAAAAAAAAATGTAAATTATCCAACATTGCAAAAATTACAGCCAAAGTGGGAATGTATTGATACAGAGAAGATTGTTTCATGATTTTCATAAGTAGTTACATGACCGTTTACAACAGGTTTTGATATATGTAATCTTCATAAAGATTCTTTTCTGTTGAACGTCATATGCACGTATAAAAATTAAAAAGATATGGTATGATGGCTGGCTAATGAGACAACTCTTCGCACAAATGAAGTTGATGTATATTGTATAACTTTTAATTAAAATGTAATTTTTATATTTCAACATAAAAAAAAAATAAAATATTTTTTATTCTTTATAGGTGAAAGATGCAGTAAATGACTGTCGAGAATTCTTAAGATTTGTGACAAGAGGCTATATAATTCTTGGAGCCATGCAGTTGTTAGGGTTTGATTCGTTAGACAAATTTAAAGACCTTAATCATACTTCTGACACTCAAAAGAAGGAATTCTTGGAAAAACTTTCCCAAGATATTGTAGACCAGTACATAACTACAGAAAAATTTGATTTAGACACACTTAAAGAAACCAATACACGAGAAGAAGGAAGATATGCGTGTGGATATCCTGGCTGCAAGAAAAGTTTCGCTGTAGATGGGAAATGTAGGTCAAAGCACAGGTTTCGATGTCATTATAAAGACTTCGAAGGTGTTCTACAGCCAGATAATGATACTGACCAACATGTCCAAAGCACCATTGAGGTTGAAGAAAAGAAGGAAGATTTTAAACACAATTACAGCTGCAGTTTGTTAAGGGATGGGCTATTTGACTGGTGTAGAGAAGATGCTGCGAGAGAAAATGATGGTGAACGTTTAGTTAGAATGTGGCGATTTGACATTTTAAAATTCGCTTTAAACAATCATGTTAAATACAAACTACTAGCTTTTAAATTACATGCCCAGCTTTTAGCAATACTGCCTCCAAAACAAGCCTTTCAACTGAAAAACAACAGAAGTGTCAATATACATGGTGGAAAGGGAGCTAACGTTCCAGGAGACCTTGCTCTTGAGTTTATGAATATGAGGGCAAAAGATGCTTTAAACTCTCTCAGAGGCAACATGACCGGTTCATCTATTGAAAGGTGCGGGAGAAGTCTCCAAGGCTGCAATGACATCATTGATTCCTATACAACAGGATTAAACCAATTTTTTGGAAAGCCTTCGAACACCAAGCCATCAATCCAGAAAGATATTGACATTCTTGTAAAACATTTACAACCAGAAGAACTTTTTCAAGTCATTCCAGGAAGATGTCACCGCACATTTAACTGTATGAACTCCAATTGCCTAACCAAGTTGGATGGACAAAAATTAAACTCTTGGCTCACCAGCAAAAAAGAAGAATTTTCAAAGACACAAAGACTACGGTCTTATTTACTTTGATAACAAATTCAGTGCTTTGATGTATAAATAGTATAATGGTGCTACATATTTCACTGTACATATTTTTTCATATTTTATTGGAAAAGCAATGAATTCAAAATTTTGTTCTGGTTCTATTACAATATATTTGCTTTTAAATACATGTACATGCTACACAAATTTTCTATTCATTTTAGTAGTGCTTTTAATGTATTGATGTGTCCTGCTTTTGTGTTTAAGTTGATGTGTGCTACTTGTTTATAATGATGTGTGCTGCTATTGTTTGTACATATGTGCTTTTTGTGCTTTTAATGTATTGATGTGTCCTGCTTTTGTGTTTTAGTTGAAGTGTGCTACTTGTTTCTATTGATGCAAGCTGCTTGAGTTTGACATATTTGCTGTTTCTGTTTGTATTATTTTATATGCAGCTTTTTTTTACATATTTAAGTGTGCTGTATCTGTTTGTATTGATGTGTGCTATGTATATATTGATGTGTGCTGCTTTTGTTTGAACATATTGATGTGTGCTGTTTCTGTTTGTACATATTGACGTGCGCTGAGTCTGGATGTATTGATGTGTGCTGAGTCTGGATGTATTGATGTGTGCTGCTTTTGTTTGTACATATTGATGTGTGCTTTTTCTGTTTGTACATATAGACGTGTGCTGAGTCTGTTTATATTGATGTGTGCTTCTTTTTTATATTTATGTGTGCTTGTTTATATTTGTGTGCTTCTTGTTTATATTGATGTGTTCTGCTTTTGTTTTTCTTAACATTTATATCATGTATATGTTCCCCTTAAAAGATGGAAATATTACGATGAATTTTGATAGGTTGTAAGTTGTACCTACTAATGTATTTTTTTCCCCCATCTAATTGTTACATTGGCACTGAATTTTGGAATGCTTAGCTAGTTTCTAAAAAATAATTATTATTTGAATAGAAATTTAAATCATGAATTCGATGGCATGTTTAATATTAAGTGATACATTTGAATTTTTTTGTTTAGATTTAGTATCTAATACTTTTTTTTTGACTGGATAATGGTTATTTTACATGGTTATTTTTTATAATGTTAAATTTGAGGCAATCAACAGGTTACCCTTTAATAAATTATTATCTTATCTTAATAGTCTTTGTGTTTGTATATATAACTTTGGTATTTTAGAAATTTTGTAAAGGCCTTTCCATTATAGAAAAATCCTTTTTAAATATAAATATTGAACCAGTTGCCTCCCAAGATATATACATGAGTATTGATTACACATACAAAACCTTGTACATGTATGTGCTTAGTTTTATTTATGATATATTTCTTTTTATTTTGATCTAATCAGATCTGAAATAAAAATTGAATACAACTTCCAATGCTTTGATTCTTTATACTTCTTGTCAGTTTCAGGTTTTTAGTTTTTAATAACTGTAAATTCAGAAATTATTATCGATCACGAAAGCTGCACAAAAAATATTACATTCTAAATTTGAAATTTTTCATCATGTGATTACTTTTGAAATACTTGAAAATAGCATTAATTTCTGAATAAACAGTAATCAAGGGCATGAATAGACTAGTTGTTCTTTTGTGTTATGGTTGATGATCTCGTGAGTAAAGCTGGTTTAAATTTTCCACTGTTGATTTTGATGCTTATTAGGGCCCCGCCGAATGGTGGCCGCCCTATAGTGATCAGTCTATCCGTCTGTCCGTAACAAATCTTGTCCGCTCTGGTTTTAGTTGACAACCCCATGTCCTATGGTAAAGATCGTGTCCGCTCTATATCTTGAGAACCGTTATGATTTCAAAGTTTATACTTGATATGTATATAAACCAAAGGGTGTGTCATAATTTATGTACAACTTCCTAGGTCAAAGGTCAAGGTCAAAAACTTTGGTTTCATTTGACAACCCCATGTCCAATGATAAAGATACAAATTTTTGACCACACATTATTCACAGCGGGGCCCACAGAGATGGCTCCCATCTCAATGATATCTAGTTTTGTACAATAATTAGGCTGTTGGTTTTCTCCATACCTTTGTTGGTGTACTATAACTGAAACTTAAGAAACTATAAAAAAGAAGATGTGGTATGATTACCAATGAGACAACTCTCCTAAAGAAACGAAATGACACAGAAATTAACAACTATAGGTCACCGTCAGCCTACAACAATGATCAAAGCCCATACCGCTTCTTTCATTAGTGGAAAAGAAAGTAGAAACATAACAAAGGGACAATCAACTCAAAAGGTGGAAAACCAACAACACTCTCCCAGGTTAGGTTGGTGCCATCAAACCTGTTTAAACCCACCAAATTCATGAAGTGCCTGTCTCAAGTCAGCAGCCTGAAGTTCAGTTGTTGTCATTGCTTCATGGCCGACATTTTGTTTGTTGTAAATTGTATTGTTATAAATTAGGCTGTAAGTTTGAATTGAATTGCTTCATATTTTTTATGTAGATACCTTTTATCATGTTTATAGCAGTACTAAGCGGTATGGGTTTTTCTTATTGTTGAAGGTCGTACAGTTGCTTTCATCCACTCCATTTGAAATTTGAAGGACAGTTCTCTCATTGGCAATCATACTACATCATATTTTAATAAAGCCATTGAGAAATTATAAAAAATTACATCAAGACAAACAGCAGCCAACATAATACAACATAGAAAACTAAAAACTCTGAAGCACATCAAATAAAAACTGTTATCTCAGGTTCTCAGTAGAAGCTTACTGTAGCATATGTAATGTCTGGACTGATTGACAACTTCTTAATACTCTTGAATAATACATGTAATAGGCATTTATGTATATCATTGGACATTTTGCTAGTATCAATCAAACAAACATGCACAAAACAAAACAAATTTCGGCAATGAGAAGACAGTGCAAATAAATAACTGTAAAATATTTCTATTTATTTTCAAAAGTAAACCAGATAATCATGACAATGTGGACATGTATGACAAATGTTTATGATACATTGTACTTAAAATATGACTAATCAACTCGGTATTTTTCTTAATGTCGGAGATCTCACATGTTCAGTTGTACATACATGTACATGTATCTGAGCATTAAAAATTGAACATCTACAGGTAGATGTACATGATAAAAAAAATTCTTTTTAGAACTTGGTTGAGTTTTTGAAAATACATTGTACATGTTGTATGTTGCATTTCTACAACAAAATTCATGCAATATTTTGACATAAGTCATGTAAGTATGGCCCTAAATCACTGTATGTACTTAGACTTCATCAATAAGTGTTAAAATATCTGCAGCAAGCTCAGGGCTAACAAGTCCTAGAGATATGACATCATCTTCACATAACAAATATGGTGCATTTCTTACAATCTGGTCTAAAGCAAAGTCCTCTAACTCACTTGAAAGTTCACTTTCTTCTTCAATAAGACATTCTTTGTAGTCTAATAAGTTTTCACGAAGTAATTGTCGTTGTTCAAGAGTAAGATCTCTTTTAATACCAGTGTTTAAGTCCTCATCAAGAACCGATGAGTTATCTAATTCACTACCTAGAAATTGGCTTTCACTACAGAATCCACAGACACACTTTAATTTGCAGTTACTACAGCATGTACAAGGAGGATCGGGCTTTATAACGCTATAACCACTAGTATTTAATTGAAAGTATGCACACAAAGTATTCCTTAAACAGTCTTCAGTCTTACAAAATTCTCGCACTTCTTCTGAACAGTTTCCCTTAGCCAAGTCATATCCACTGAAGTAAATAACTGATACGGCTGAACGACCATCTCTGCCTGCCCTGCCACTTTCCTGTGAGAATTGCTCTAGACCTTGTGGCCCTCCCCAGTGAATGACACGCTCAATGTCAGGAATGTCTATACCCATTCCAAACGCAATGGTAGCAAAAACAACACGCAGAGAACTGTCAAGTTTCTGAAACTCATCAAGCACATGACTTTTATTGATATCAGCAGTTGAACGGTGAAACATTCCTATCAATCTATCATCTAGAGATTCACTTCTGTCATCTAATGATAGTCTGAAATACTCATACAAATTGGAACAAGAAACAATATTTCTGCAATATATGATTGTCTTTTTGGTGGATTTTTCAAATTTAAGTAGATCGTTAATTAGCCAGTCTAAATCTGCCAAATTCTTACTACTTTTTTGCACATAATATGATAAATTTGGCCTTTCTGGTATCACGGAAATAATGCTTGTTCTTTTGATGTCCATATCAAGTGTTTTCATAATGTCTTTCTTTATTGATCTTGTTGCAGTTGCTGTTAAAGTTACAAAAGTTGTTTTTTTGGGCACAACAGATCGAAGTTCTCCAAGATGACTATACTCCTTGCGAAATTCACCACCCCTAAAATAGCAAAAAAAGAAAAATATAATGTTTAGAAATAGACTGACGTTCTTCTTACTGCATTAATTGAATCATACACACATCTCCTTTTTTCCATTTTAAGACAACCAATCTACATGTATTGGAAAGCGTTTTAATTATTGTTTATGTACACATATTTTTTTATTAAAGTCTGACAAGGTCTCAACATCTGATTCTGTATTTTATCTGAACAAATTACTTTTTTTCAATGGAATTTTATAGTTTTAAAAATAAATTTTAAATTTGTTAAATCATATTGTGCTATAACACCAGTGTCCCAGGCACCAACGTGTTTAAACCCAGAAACCCAACACAAACTTTATGTTGTTGTTGTTAGTACATGTCTGCCATTTTTGTTTTTCATAATTGTTTTGTTATAAATTTAGTCATTAGTTTTCTCAATTGAATTGTTCAGTTGACATATTTTTCTTGTGAGGGCCTTTTATGGCTGCCTATAGGGCATGGGTATTTACTAATTGTTCAAAGCTGTACGGTTGTCTATAATTTCTAATATCGGATCCATATCATATGAATTTTGGTGGATAGCTATTGTTGTCTCATTGGCAAATATATCATGGCCACATCTCCTTATTCATTTTATGACATACAAAATTGTTGCCTTCATAGTTTAATAAAAAAAAACTGTAGATCAATACACATATTATAATAATATAAAAAAATTACCATTGTGTTATACAGTGAGCCTCATCTATAACAACTGCCTTCAAGTTCTCATGGAATACACCTTGTGTAATACATCTCCGCCATGGACCTTTATTCAATACTGCTTCAGGAGAGGAAAACACAATGGAGAATTCACCCTCAATAATTCGTGCCGGAATACTTTTGTCTGTTTGCTTTTCTCCAACGAATGTAGCACTAACACCATTGTTTTCAAGTTTGGTAACCTGGTCTATCATAAGGGCTTGAATTGGTGATATAACTAACACTGTGCCTTTGACGTGGGTTACAAGTTCGTACAATTCTGGCAAATGTGAATAAATTTTGGACTTGCCGTAACCAGTTGGCAGAACTACAAAGGTATCCTGACAGTCAAATATAGATGTAATAGCGAGCTTTTGTTTTTCTTTAAATATAAAGTCATATTTGGCTTCTAAGTCTTGTAAAGCTTCAAAGATGTCCATATTTTTGTTTTGAATTCAATAACCGGAAACTACGGAAGTGTCTTCTGCGCAAAATCATGCATAATTATAATGACCTGCAATTTGATTGGGCCCTCTCAGCGACAGGGCTGGTGACGCGTCCAATGATCATAAAGAATTCAAGCCCTCGAAAGGTGGAGAGAATCGGAGACGGTAAGGGCTTGAATTATTCGAGTGTTAATGTAGTGATCGATAGGGAGCGTAATATAACGACTGGATTATTCGGGTTAACTCCTGATGTACAAAATACCATTGAGGATGTGTATTCGAAAGTTGACTTTGCGCATGTGCGTACATGGTTAAAATAGAATAAAAATCTGCGAGGCTCGAAATGGGGGAATTTATCCTTATTCTGTATTTGGTGATAGTTTTCAATGAAATAAAGTTTTTTAAGATTTATTTAACGGAAGTTAAATAATTTTCATAGAATAAAGAAGTAACATGTCTTCGAGATGAAAATACGAGATTCTGATTGTTACCGAAGACAGAGACATATAATATTTATTCGCACATTTCCAAGTTTTACGAGATAAAATGAAAGTACCAGCACAGCTGGCTTCGGGTATCAATAAGAAAAAAATCGTAAGGGTTCCGCGGAACCCAGTGTCTCGCCTACTTTTGCTGTTAATCACAGGCTCAACAAAATTGAGGAAAAAAATTAATAAAAATATTCCTCTCTATACTATCTTTTGATTGTAAGTAGCTTCTGTCCAAGTTTGGTAAAAATCCAGGATAGTTTATGAATCTAATAAATGTTTTAAAAACTTAAACTGCAGACTGTTATGTAATGTTAACTGGAAGAAAAAACTAAGTCCATTTATAAGTAAAATACGGAAAAAATGGAACAAAATTTTAACAAAATTTCCTTTTAGATACTAGCTTTTAATCATAAACAAGCTTCTGTCCAAGTTTGGTACAAATCCAGGATAGTTTGAGAAAGTTGTTAAAATTTTAAAAACTTTAACCACAGAGTGAATGTAATGTTAACTGGCAGAAAAACTAAGTCCATTAATAAGTAAAATACGGAAAAAATGGATTGATTTTTTTTACAAAATTTACTTTTGAATATTATCTTATGGTCATAAACAAGCTTCTTTCCAAGTTTGGTACAAATCCAGGATAGTTTAAGAAAGTTATTAAAATTTCAAAAACTTTAACCACAGAGTGAATGTAATGTTTCCTGGCAGAAAAACTAAGTCCATTTATAAGTAAAATACGGAAAAAATGGATTTTATTTTTACAAAATTTACTTTTGAATATTATCTTATGATCATAAACAAGCTTCTGTCCAAGTTTGGTAGAAATCCTGAATAGTTTAAGAAAGTTATTAAAATTTCAAAAACTTTAACCACAGGGTGAATATTTGTGGACGCCGCCGACGACAACGACGACGACACCGATGGAATGTAGGATCGCTATGTCTCGCTTTTCCGACAAAAGTCGAAGGCTCGACAAAAATCGCCACATTTGTTGATAATTTTGAAAAAAAAACACTATTGGATAAAATTTTACGAAAATAGTCTTATTTTCACGAAACAACATTTGGGAGTATTATTGCCCCATAAAATTATATATTTATTAGCATATTTCCAAGTTTTAAGAAAAAAATTGGGAGATCAAATGGTTTCTACGGCAATAGGTGAAGTAAAATGGGCCGAGTTTTAACTTTGTTTGTATTTGATTAATCTCATCATCAGAACACATTTTATCAATAACAAATTATTAGAATTAGTTTTTTGTAACTTTTAAATATACTTGCATGCTTAAGCTGTGAAAGGTATCGGCATTATTCATTAGAAAAATCGTGAGGCGTAGAACCTTTTTCACAACATAGCGGGTTTTTACCCATAAATTCATCGGAATAATCGGCTTTCCGGTGGCCACGTCATTTCATTGGCTGTTATATAGACTCTACTAGAGTTGCGAATCTCTTGTATTATATGTCTCTGTTGTATTATATGTCTCTGCCCAAGAGATGGTGGGTTTCGCGCCACTCTTAGCTGTAGCGATGGGGACACTATGGGGATAGCTAAATTTTAGCAATTGCTATAGCTACATAGCTGAGGTATAAAAGCAAGAGCGGGAGACTTTTGCGAGGTTCTGGGATCTGACAGGCAAAGAGGAAAGAACGTACGACAAAAACTTACAGATATTTGCAAAAAGAAAAAGGTACAGAGAAAATTTATTTTATTTAATATAAAAGTTAGATATATATATAGAGCTTACTTAAGCTTTGTAATTGCTTTATAGTACTGAGGTGATTCTCACAATTTATTGCAATTTTTTAAGGAAAAACAAGCTATTCAGGATAGGATAATTTTATTTAATATTCAAAAAAGTTCTAGTCGGACATAATTCCGAAAAGAGAACATTCACGTATGTACATATACGGGGTTAATCCTGATATAAAGATTTATTCCAAGACTTGCATATCGGGTTGAAACTCGGCGATTCAAGGCAGAGTAACCCGTTCTGAGAAGACGGATTCATGGTTTAAGTAAAGGAAAAACAACTAAAGAACGAATTAACTTTATTGTAACGCTTAAAAATCCTGTCATAAAAAAACGTAACATTAGAAGTTCAATAAATCATAGATACATGTATTACATTATTCCTCGGTTGATTAACGTATGTTTTTCCCATCCCATGAACAAACTTCATTTTTATTAGTAGAGATATATGTGTCACGTACACGCTACCCAAACCCGTGACAATATATAAGACTAAAATTGACTACGGCCTTTACTCAACCTTCATTCCTCAAGTCGATGTTCAATTCTTACTTCATAATAAAATAAGATTCCAAATCTACGACCAATGAAATACCCCTCTAATAGACTAGCCGCAATGAAATCACAGTTTTCTAAAATGGTAGGTGGAACCTAAAACTCTAAAAATTTTAAACAAAATATTTTAAATCTTGCAAATACATGTTATAATAATTCTTCTCAATAATTTGCTATATTTTTTCTTATTTTGTCTATTGTTCGAGACTGTATATTGATCTCTAGATGTCTTTTAATTACATCCAGTTTGGTGTTGGGTTGATGTCTTATTGTTGCACATGCAATATATCGACGTGGGATTTGTTTATATAAATAACAACTATTCTCTTAAATTCAAATAAAATGAATGTAAGAAATTATAGGCAACCATATCACCTTCAAAATAGGGAAAACCCCATACTGTATATTCGGCTGTAAAAGAGCCCAACATGTTTCTATTGCGATACACAGTTTTAAACTTTATATTGATAAGATTCAAGATTTATTAAAAAACCTTTCAAGACATCATAATTATTTGGATTTGTTCTGTCGATTGATAGTGGTATAAGGACTGGAATGAGATCAAATATATATAGATCTGCTCAACAGTTTCAAGTTAAATCAGTTGTAGTAGGTTGTTTGAAGTTTGGAGCATATTCAACTTTGAACATCTTTTTCAGGTCTGCAATCCATATAAAAAATCAGAATATGTGGTATGATTGCCAATGAGACAACTATCCACAGAGGTTCAAATATCAAAGCAATTATAGGGCAACCATACAGCCTTCAAAAATGACAAGTATACAACAATTCAATTGAGAAAAGTAATCGCCTGATTTACAACTAAACACCCCCCCCCCCCCCCGAAATAAAAAAGTTGTTAAAAAGGAAAAAAGAAGATGTAGCCTTTTTAACTTATAAAGGGGGGAGGGGATTCATTATATTCGGAACAACTTTTCAAAAAGGATGGATTCATATAATCAAAGCACCAAGGGCACTATAGGCAGTTAATTAAATAAACTGTTATCACAGAGATATTTCTCACCTTTTTGTAATTTTGATAATGCAAATGTTGAAATTAAAATAGCAATACTTTAACATGTAAGTTATGCAAATATTCAAAGTCGATGAACCATGACTGAAGGTACATGGCTAAACAATCTCTATGGAATGAGATGTGCCAATGCTAATACAACTGCATTCCAAATACCATTGACTTATTATAAGTCGTTCTCTTTAAACAAACCTAAACACAAACATTAACTTGTAAACTATGTAAAAGTTTCAAAGTCAATGAACCATGATCAGTGGTGGGCTATATAATCTCCATGGAAACGATGCTTGCAAATGCCAATTAATTTGCATACCAAATATCACTGACTTAACATTAGCAGTTCATCTTAAACTGATCTAATCACAAACTAATACATGTAAACTAAGCAAATTTTTTTAAAGTAAATAGACCATGACTGAGGGGGCGGGGCCAGATATTCCCCATGGAAATGAGATGTGCTAATGCTTATACAACTGAACATCAATTAACATTGGCCTACCACTAATGGTTCCCCTTGAACTGACCTAATCACAAACTAATACATGTGTACTTAGCAAAATTTTCAAAGTCTATAGACCATGACTAAGGGGGCGGAGCCAAATTATCTCCATGGAAATGAGATATGCCAATGCTTATACAACTGCACACCAAATATCATTGACCTACCACTAGTGGTTCCCCATAAATTGACCTAATCATAAACTATAATACATGTAAACTATGAAAAGTTTCAAAGTCAATAGACCTTGACTGAGGGGGCGGGGCCAAATAATCTCCATGGTAATGAGATGTGCCAATGCTAATACAACTGCATACCAAATATCATTGACCTACCACTAGTGGTTCACCATGAACTAGACCTAACCACAAACTAATACATTGTCGACGCCGCCGACGCCGGAAACAGCATACCTATGTCTCGCTTTTTGACTCCGTCAAGGCGAGACAAAAACCAAAGGCAAACTTGACAGAAGTAAAGATGAATATTGTAGAAGAATTGGTGAAAATATTTATCTCAGTTATTTCTCAAGTATCAAATAATGTTTGTACCGTTTAATTTCTATTTCGTAAACTCAAACGAACATAAAATATTTATCAAATAACCACAAACTCTTACATGGGAGACGCCACTTGCAGAGACAAGCGCACATTTTATTATAAATATGAGTATGATATTGTGGAAAGTTCATATAAATACACACTCAGGTATTAAGCAGCTTGTACATGTACTGGTT